ATCTACAAAAGCTGAGCCAGGGACTAAAGCATGAAATAAAATAACAAAACTAAAAACAAAACTTGTTTAAAACTGGAAATGACAGAAATATATTTAGAAGCATAAAAACAGGATTTTGGTAATTATAAATACTGTTAATTTAGGGCAGCTGTGGCATAAACCTAACACTGGGTGGTGGGCTGATAAATTTATTTCATAGTTTTTTGTGACCCGCCTACCAACTACGAATAAAAATTAGCAGCTGCCGTTTTCATGTATTTTAACAAGTGTCAGGACCCTGCTGAGGTGTCCTTGATTCCCTGCTAAAGAAATAAGTGAAGAAAGAAAATAAATAAATAAATAAATTCTTCTGTAACGTATTGTCTTAAGATCAGAAACAGTTTTTATACACATGAGCACATCAAACAGCATATGAGCTTTAAGCTGTCCTCCTGTTGTACAGGGTGAAAGAGAATCTCTAATCACTGACAGTAATAATGCCTTTGCTTATCTAAAAACATCAGTGTGTCCATTAAAATCAGAGTCAAGTTCAGATATGATGTAGAAGATCATGTATCCTACATCAAATGCCTGTAAGATAACCACCGAGCCAGCCGAGTGGAGCCTGTTCTCAAATAACATCGCTTATACCTAAATCCCTAATCTCATCACGCTGTTATATTCCAAGTCTGAACTCTCCACATCAGATTCTCTGTTAAAGCAGAGCTCCAAAAATATCCTGTACACTGTACCTATCGAGCGATTCTCGCCTTTGACACTGTCAAAACATGTGACAGGGTGTACGGTTAATGTTCATATATATATACAGCAAATCACTGAGTCTCAAAGATGTGTTTAGTGCTATAAGGGCACCCGTCTTTTCACTCTCTCTCTCGCACACACACAGACACACTTTTCGCCCGGTCAGCATTTGCACAGCCGTGTGTGTTCATCGTTACAGCCTCTGACTGCAGCGCTAAAAGTGACAGATGTGTCCTGTTAGCTATATGTGACAGACCGTGCAACAAGACAGAGCACTGTGCAACAAATGACCTGTTTGATTGCACACATACATAATAGAAACGATTTGAAGATGAGCCAAAAACTCCAAAGTGCATGTTTATTATAAACAAGATTAAACGTCTAAAGTTCTGCCTGTGATCTCTGGAGGCTGCAGAGTTCATTACAACCCATTAAAAGCTCAAACTATATACTTTTCTTAGTGCCCTTGGTCTTTTCTAACTACATTATATCAGGTGAGTTGTATAAGCTGGTCTAAAGAGCAGAAAAGTGTTAACACGATGATGTCTAAAGCCTCAATTATACTTTCTGGGTTTGTGAGTCAGCTGGAGTCCCAAGTGAAGTAAATTCTCGTCAGATGGCAAGCGCAAGTCCATCTGCTGCAGCTTCCAACTAATCAACCTCAGAGCAAAAGGTCCAATCAGCTGCCTTTATTCGACAGTTTGCAAGGTTAATACAGATCCACATTCTCCAGAGGAAGATTAAAATTTAAAAAGAAGGCTAGAAAATTTAAAAATCGAAGCTAGAGTTCATTTTTTAACATGCAAAACTATTCAGTAACATAGTACGGTTCACAGCCTCATGTTTATTTAGTAGTGTTAAACTACCCATGCTTCACCCAAAGCTGATTCATCCATGTTCATCCAAACTGAATACTATCAACACATATTGTTCACTTTGTAAAGGTTTGTACAAGGCACTATCTAGAGATCTATCCATCTAGTTTTCAAGCAAATGTATTTGCAAAAGGCTAGTGGGTATTCCTCAGGTAAGTTGAATATACCCCAGATGTGCATGGTTTGGTTTACAATTGCAGGCAATGCCCTTAATGTGAACCAACTACATGTTAATGTCTCCTTATTTTTGTCTTGCAGTCAGTAAATAGACCCCTTACCAGAACTGAAATGTGTGGGCTGAGTGTTATTTACATCTGAGGGTTTAAACTAGCACATATGTGACAAACTGTCGAAAGTCTCAAACACTGAACAGCATTTTAGTGTGAAGGTGTTAAAGTGATAAACTCAGAAATGTTTAATTTTAACTGCGGGTGTCCAGTTATTATTTATTAGAGTTACAGACATCTCGTCAGCAAAGTGACATTTCCATTAAAGTCATGCTGTTAATAGAGTATATATACATTTTTTTTTTATTAACAAACAAATAAGCAAACAAAGGAATACAAGGTTTTCGCACACAACCATCTCTAGGTTTTAGAGAGACTGGTGTGAAAAAGAGAAAATGTCCAGTGAGCGGCAGCTGAAAGTGCCTTGTTGATGCAGAGCTCAGAGGAGAAAGACAAGAGTAAATAAAATGACCACTTATTACAACCAAGATATGCAGAAGACCATCTCTGAACACACAACATGTTGGACCTTGAAGCAGACGGGCTACGGCAGCAAAGGACCACACCAGGTGTCACCTGGGTGCTTACAGCACGATAACACACCTCGTCACAAAATTCACATCATCTCAAACTGCTTTCTTCAACATGGCAATGAGTTCACTGTACTCCACAGTCACCGGACCTCAGTCTCACTGAGCACCTTTGGGACGTGGCGGAAGAGGAGACTGGCATCACGGATGTGCCACAGACGAATCCGCAGCGTGTGATGCTGTCATGTTAAAAATGTTTTCTGAAGAATGTTGAATCTCTACCACAAAACATTAAAGCAGTTCAGAAGGTAAAAGGGGGTCTCTTTTGTACATCGCTACCACCTTCCCATGCTGTCAATCTCAATACTGATTAATGTAGTCTTACGTCTGCATGGTTTAAATCTGTGCTGTCTGTCATTCTCCCTTTTATACTCTCATTTGTGCAATCCATCTCCTCCCCATGTCCACCTCGCCTAATTCACTCAGAGCTCCACCCAAGTCTTAGTCTTCATCTTCACTATCACCAGCGTCTAGACTCCAGGGGGGGTCCTGTCCTAAATCCCATCACTGCTGGAATTCCATTCTGAGATGATGGGGCAGTCTAATCACTGAATGCACTGATTAATTTCTCTATCTAAAGAAATGATATTCTTTTCCCCAAATGATCTCTGCTTACTGAAATATTTTAGCCCTTTTTAAAATTAGGTTTTACTTGCACAAAGACAAATTTTCTGTAATTAATTCTGGAAATCAGGACAATCCCATTGTTTCCACAGGGATAATTTACGAGGGTATTTTTCAAGGACACCTCAGCAGGGTCCTGACACTTGCCGACAGCAACAGCTCCTCACACACAAACACAATCACAGATGGTAAATGCATTTTAGCTAAACACTCAAAATATTCAGGAATTCTCAGAATGTAAAGCATTTCTTTTGTTTTTATTGTGCATAAAAGAAAGAAGGTGATTTTTTTTAAGTTTTGGCTTCTGCCCCCCTCTCTAAGCTACTGACTGAGCCCTGAGAGAGGCAAGCCGCTGTGGAGTGGAGATAAGGCTACACCTGCCAGCCAAGCTCATCACTGTGTTTGTGGTTTTGAGTGTGTGTTTGTCTAAGCCTCTTTCCGTGTGTGTCTGTGTATGTTCCAGTCCCAGGGTTGAAAAGATAAGTGGCTCTAAGGAACCCGAGTGTAAAATCTCAGCTACACCGAACCCCAACAGAGATGAAGTGAGACAGCACAAAATGAAAAATACATATTCCTTTCAGAGTGGATTAAACTATAAAAAGATAGGCAGAAAGGTCATTTCCTCCTCAAAAGCAGCTAAAATACCTTCCAGCTCCCAGACATGTAGCCACATCACTGAAGAGCGAAGCCACAGCAGAGACCTGTGGATATGTTCTCACACTTATCTTATATTTACAACTAATTAGTGGTTTATTTAAAATATACAATAATGCTCAAAAGTCTATGATCAAAAGAAATCTTCTCTTGACTACACTGTAATAATCTGCTCTAAAAATAGTATAGTATATAAATGATGAATTAAGCACTTGTTAATACCTGATTCATGCTTAACAGTGTAACATTATTATAAAGTGCAATCAGAAGGCTTCTAACGTATTTGACTTTTTAAAATTAATTTGAAGAAAAGTGGTTGAATATTTTGGTTTCCACTGACTTTTTTTTTTATGACATTTTGTTCTCAAGCAATTACACAATGTAACTGTATAATTTGTAAACATTGTAGTCATGACAACCTTTCTTAAAAACTACAAACCCTTTGATGTGTGTTTACACGGTGACTGATGTGTTTTAACTTCATGTTTTATATCGCATAAAAACCATGTGTATAATACAAACTACTGATAGTCTCATGATTGAGATAAGGACAATTATGAGACAGTTTTGTATCAAAGAATGGTTACAGGCTACTAATGTCTTAGTATTTCCAAAATCTATAAAAAAAAAACACATCTGTGTATATGTGATCTGTGATAATGAAAATATCACATTTTATGAGAAATGGTGGCAATAATATGATATAATCTAAAAATCCTGCTGTAGAAAATTATGAGAAACTCCTCTGTGATTGAGAAGAAGCATCACAAGACAAAAAGTCTGTCATGATGACAAACAAAGACTGCATTATGAGATGACTGTTATATAAACGACAGGCAGGAAAGCTGCACATGTGGAGATCGGGGGGTTTTGTTGTGTGTTTGTGATCATGTAAAGTTTCATTCCTAATCTTAATAATCAGTGACACAGGCAGGTTACCACATGTTACTGTTGTTTCCCACTTTTTAAAGATCATTCACCTTTAAATGACCTTTTTTTCCACTCTGTTTTTAACATTTGTAAAACGCAGTTCTCCCTCTACAAAGAGACTACACATCCAACACATAATCATATGTCTGTAACCTGCTGTTTACACAGGACCTGAATTCATAAATAGTCCGATAAAGTTTGTCTCTTTTTTCACGAGAGGATGAGTGGTCACGCACACACACACACATCCACAGTCAAACAGAAACACACTTTGTACTTACATTTTGTTGACTGAAACTCTTTGTTGTCTGTGCAGCGCTCCATTTCTCTCTCTTTCTCGCTTACTCAGAAAATGACAGGAAGTGTAAAAGGAAGGGAAGTTGCTTCTCGCTTTGTGTACGTGTTTTGAAATGTTGCGGCCAGCCTCTTCTTAAATTACGAACTCTATCGTGAGAACATCAAAAAGTCCAGCGACGGCTTCTCTGATGGGCAGCGGCACGAGTGTGAATGGATGTGTTTGCTGAAAACTCGAGAGGGAAGAAGACACCACGCGCCACGAGTCATGCCTGTGCCAGTGTGAACAAGTACCTGTGCCTGAGCGCGCGTGTGTGTGTGTGCGTGATCTTATGGTACAACCATGGCAAGAGCAGCACTTACTAAACTTCTTCTCCTCGTGATTCTTGCCTTCATCATCTGCCTCCCGGAATTTTTCACATTTTACCAAGGTTGGTCACACAAACAGCTTCAGATCCACATTAGTTCATTCTGTGTGTGTGTGTGTGCGTGTATTGTGTAAATGTTAGAATGTTATCCAGCTTTTGTTCAAACTTTGCATCAAAGTAAAGCTTTAGACAACGTTCGCTTGATTTGCTTCCTCTTTACACACATTGTCTGTGGAAAGACCTGTCTGTGTCGGTCTAAGATTATAAATAAGACCCAAATATAGCTCCATACAACTCTGACTGACAGCCCTTTTGAAAAGGTTTCCGTATTGTGTTGCCTTGAAAACACGTTTCTTTATGAGAGCATCTCGGTTTACCCTTGTGCTCCTGCCGTCTTTGCCTTCAGTGGTTTTTCTTTTTTGTCTCTCCATCTGTGTCTTTCCTCATCTGTCTCTTTCTGTCAGATACAAACTGGAGGCAACAGCTTCCATTTCGAGATCTTGCTATGATTTATAGCTTGACAGCTCGTTCTTTGCTGCTTTTCCTCTTTATGCCTGCTTCTGCTGAGAAATCAGTCTGAATTTTGCCGTGTTCATTCTCTTTATCCTTGCAGTAACAAAAGTGAACTTCTTCTGCCTTCCCTACCGACCCTGCGAACAAGGAAATCAGGTGAAAGAGGGAGAAAATGGAAAGGCTGGAAATGATGACGCTAAGAGAGGCCATATGTGTGACCCATCTCAGACTCCAGATCAGGAAAAATGGGAGCAAGCGTGCATACGAGAAGATCAAAGCAATACAACAGATTCGGCTTCAGACGTCAGGCGAGGCAGAGATGATCCAAAAGCGAGGTGGTTCATGTGTGAGACAGACATGGAAATGGCAGAAGTACACAGAAATATCTCAACTTCAGGTATTCACATCTAGAGACTCAACAACATCTGCTTTCTGTTTAGAAAAGCTTGCTACTGCCTGAAGTCCACACCGCTGAGTGCATCTGACCCGTACTGTCTAGTGTGTTTGGCTAGTGTGATTATTGAGTGCCACGTCTGGGTGCGGTTAAGTAAACTGTGCCCTGGTCTGCTTGAAAAGGTGGTCCAGGGCATGCTTCAGTTAGACTCTTAGCATACTCTGTGTACGCTCTTAAGACTTCCAAGGTGAATCATGACTCTAGGATCCATCACATTTGAAAAGTTTAAGCTAATTAACAACTAATTAATTGTTTATTAAAAGTGACATTTTATGGTTACCGTCACAGTGAGGACTCTATGCAGTCCTGTGAAAAAGTAAGTAGATCCCATGATTCAGTTGTTTAGCGACAATAACTTGAAGCAGTTGTTTTCTGTATGACTTCATCAATCGCTCACACTGGACACACTTTAAAATGCCATTTAAGTTCATTGAGGCTTACGAGCATTAATTTATGCACATTTCTCTAAAGGTCTTGCCACAAGATTTCAGTCATGTTCAGGTTTGGACTTTGATTGCAACAGCTTAACCCTTTTGTTTTGCAGCCATTCTGTGGTAGTGTGCAGTCTGAACCAAGCTTTAGCCGTTAGGCAGATGGCCTCACATTTCACTCTAGAATACTTTGGTGTACAGAGGAGTTCAGTGTTGACTTACTGAGTGCAAGATGTGTCGGCCCTGTGGCTGCAAAAGAAGCCCAAGTCATCACCCCTCCACCACTGTGCTTCATAGCTGTTATGAGGTGATATGCTGATATGCATTATGGCCTAACATCACGTTGGTCTCTTCTGTCACTGTTCCTGAAGTCATGATCAGATGCATTTTTGCAAACTAAAGCCAAGCTGCATGTTTCTTAAAGAGAAGAGGGTTTGTCCTGGGACTCTTCCAAGCAAGCCATATTTGTTCAGTCTATTTCTCAGTGCATTTAACATGCTAACTGAAGCTTGTCAAATCTGAAATATACCTCTGGTTTGGTCTGGTGTATATTTTTGTATTTGCTCCTACCTGTTAGTTGTGAGATTCGCACCTTTAGCAATATTTGGGTGAGAGGTTGTACTGTTTTACAGCTAGTAGCTTAGTAGTGGAAAGGTGCATCCCAGGTCTTAAAACTGCAATTCCTTGAACAGCCACTTGAGGGTAGATTTACAATGTAAAATAAACTTTTTTATAGCCTTGTACAGGAAAAGGCTTTTAGTCTCTAAAACTTCATGAAAACTGTACAGAGGACACCTGTCACGAAGTTTGCCATAATTCATCTTGTGTTTCTGTTGTTCAGCAGACCATCAGAGGTGCAACGCTTCCAGAGAGAACTGATCGCCTTTCACTAATTAAAGAATCTAATTAAGCTTTAAAATATGAGCATATTAACGTGAGCGTCACTGTGAGCATGTTCACAGGCAGGTGTTATTTAACTCTTGCGCTGCGATGCCTTCTTCAGCAGACAATATAAGCCTTTTACGCCCCAATCAATACATTCATGCTATTTATTCACCCACAGCTTACGAGTTACATCTGGAGGTGTCAGCCGAGCTTCATCTGCCCAACGCAGAGACCCTGAATCTCACCTTGTACGGCCGCAGCAATCACAGTTCCTTACACCTCTACCCACCTGAGGAGGAGGAGGAGGAGGAGGAGGAGGAAAATAAGGGTGGTGATGAAGGACAGAGGAAGGCATTCTACTGCTGTCTCCCTTTCCTGCCCAACTCTGAATCGCCCAATCAAAGCCGCTGTCTCCTTTGGTTCGCCAATCAAACGGTTTGGAATTCAACAGCAAAGGAAAAGCTGCCATGGAAACGGACACAGAAAGGTTGGTGTCAGGCGGATGGAGCTGGGCTTCTTTGATCCCCACGCGGCAAGTGTGGCTTCACTGTAAGATGGAAAGGAGAGGAAAGAGGAGACAATAGGAGACAAGGAAATTGGCCACTCAGTTTTCATTTCATTCCAAGCTGCCCACTCTCTCAGTCCACAATGGAGTCATTCTTTTTAATAGAAGAAATTTCCTTCAGTTCTTCTCCTGACTTTTTGTTTCTCCCTCTTCCTCTGTACTACATGATCAGTCATACTTTCCAAAACTACAGTACATCTTAATTTACTGTATCTCTAAGCCTGTATTGATTTCTTTCTTTCTGCTCTGCTCTCCAAAAGTCCCTCATGCTTAAGACATTGATTAAGTAATATTTTCCAAAGTGCATAATGAAAGCTGGATATCCATTTCCTTCCAATTTTTCTGCAGCACCTCCACCAGACCTTTCCATTTATGCTTTTCCCTTTCTTTGTTCTTGTTTGTTCATTTCCTCTTATTATTTATATTGCCTCTTCTATGTCTTTTATCTCTTTCCAGTCCTCCTTCCTTGCCGGTCTCTTGCCTTCTTATCCTTCCTTCTTTTCTTCCTTCATCCACTCTACATTTTCATGTATTTTATTTTCACATGGCATGAATTTTAGTGCTGGAATGACTGGGATGGATTTTTTTTTCTTTAGGTAAAGAGGTCAGTAATGAAAATAATACATAATTGTTTCAGACTCTGCTTTGTCCAAAATGTTCCTCTGTTTTCCAGATGAGTGGCAGTGTGCGCTCAGAGTGGTCTGGCTGGCTCTGCTGTGTTTGGTGTTGCTGAGTATAGTAACGAGTGTGATCGGACAAATCTACAAGAAAAGGCGTTTGTGCAGTAAGAGACAAAAAACAATCAAACAAAAGAAATCACTCGTTTTATGATGCCACAACTGAAGAAACAAAGTCAAAATTTTGAGTTACTATTTTAAATTTCTAATTAAAAATGAAAAACTTTGAGTTTTTGAGTTGAGTTTGAGTTTGTATTAGTGAGTTGAAAGTTTGGACTTATGAATATAAAAAAGGCTTGGCTTTGTTTTTCAGTGGTGGAAACAGGCGTCCTAAGACATGTTTTTTTCCTCTGCCAGGGAAGCCGAAGGTGCACCCTGATGGCTTCAACTTAATTACTCAGCAATTAAATGGTAAGCCAGCAAAATGTGTATTCTGAAGTTACTGTACACTAGATACGTTTGTACTTCACTGGATTTCAATATTGTGAGTGCTTAAAAATATCCAACTTTATACAAGTTCACCTTTTGCTGAAGGGCAAGACTGAGCGTGCAAACTGAGGTGCACATAAGAAAAAAACAACAACCATTTACACACAAAGATAAAAAGCAAACTCTAATTATAACACAAGAAAAATGTTTAAATGTAGCATGTTCAGCAGCAGTGGTCTGTCCAAAGGTGACTGACAATGTGCAAGGCAAAAGTGCAAAAAGTCATGTTTAGCGCTGTGACGTGAGACTTCCTGCTTCTATGGTGAAAGACAAGCTTTTTCTCCTGGCCGCATATTGCTATCAGAGCCACTGCTTTAGACTAGTTTCAACCACAGTGCAGAGAACTTAAAAAACAATTATTATTATGAGAAATTCTGAAGTGATTGGTTTTGTCATATTGTACAAAACCTTCTATGACAATTAAGCAAAGGTGAAAGCAATGAGGGACAAGATCAGAGTCGAACTGAAGCAAGACTCATGAAAAACTGACTTCCACACCCAAAAAGGAAATGACAAAGAAATGAGTGTCTTACACTGAGGCATGAACACTAAGAGGAGGCAGACTCAAGGGAAGCCTCAAATTACAACCCCCACTAGGATTTTCTCAGTGCACATGTACCAATACACAGCCCTCTGTGACATTTCAAGCAGCCCTCAAGGACAGAATACACTACCATACAGTTCATTCACCCACAATATATAACTTAACACCAAATATAGAGGCAGAACCAAACCAAGGGAGCATAATCTATTCATCAAACTCAACAGTCACCTCAAGGCACTTTATATTGTGATAATACAGAGAAAATCCCAACAATCAGACTGCCCCCTATGAGCAAGCGCTTGGTGACAATGGGAAGGAAAAACTACCTTTTAACAGGAAGAAGCTTCTAGCAGTCCAAGTATCAGGGAGGGACAGTCGTCTTCGACAGTCAGTGAGGGGTGAGGACAGGAAGCCGCTCCGGAAGAGAGACAGAGATTATTAATAACTAATGATTAAATGGTGTATAAACATAAGACTCAGCCATTCAATGTTAACAAATACATCTGGTGTCAAGAAATGCCACCTCTCACTGTAATGGTTAAAAAAATGATAAGCCATGGCTTACTATCAACCAAAAACCAGTGTGTTAGATCTCTGAACAAACACACTAAATGTGTATTTAATCTATGTTTTCATTTATATGCTGGCTCAGTACATGGTCACTTTTAGAAATCCTGGTCTGTGAATAGTCTGTATTGTCTCTGAAGTATAATATATTAATAATATACTAAGTAAACTAAAATGTATTCCAGAAGATGAGAGTTACAACATGTTTATGCTACTCTTTTATGTAGACGGTGCCAAAGAAACAGAAGTCAGCCCTCCTGAAGGTAAACTGCTCAATAAAAACGCATTTACATCTGCGTCAACAGGTTTGGAGATTCTAACAAACTCTTTTTGGTCCAGCAGGGACAAACCTCCACTTATACGGGTTTCATACCTGGTCAAGTCAGTCCTTTTAATCAGTCAGCATCATTTAATGGATCTGTTGTTTCACTGCTTTCACCACGTTAATCTTTTTCTTTTTTTTTACCAAAATGGATAGGGCTCTCACCAATTAAAGAAGTTGACAGTCAAAGTAGGTACACACACATGCACCTTTTAGAAAAATGAGTCAGATCACAAACACACGTTCTGATTGTCCTCACGTATACTTTTCAGATGACATATCAATGTTAATGGATGGAGATGCTGACCACTGCTATACTGGTAAAGTCTTTACTGGAACAATTGTACAGGTTCAAAGAGAAAGCTGTTGGTGGTTATGACCACCAATAGCTGGTTGATGACTTTCAGATACTCTTGCACGCATTCAAGACTTAACTTGGCGCCTCTTCATGCAACCAAAGTTTGATTAATTATATGCGGTTTAGTTTTTAGATGCTATGGGTCGGCCTTTAGTCCTGTCCTTACCAGCGTATTGCTGGATACGTTATTTGAAACTGCTGCACGGTTGGGAACCACATCGCCCTTCATTTTCATACGTGTGTGGTAATCTGCGAATGGTGCTACGAGAGCTCAAAAACTCCAAAGTGTAGCTTTAAATATGATGGACTTAATGCATAAATACGAAAAGTATACCAATGTGTAGCTAATTATCATTGAATTGTTTGCTGTATTAGGCTGTTCTCTTTACGTAAAACGTAAACATAAGGTCAGAGGTTAAATGTGATGTGATATTTGGATGTAAATTATAATGTGATATTTAGAATACACATACACCAGTATCATTTCCTAAATGTTGCCAATACAAACAAAGGCAGTCGTAAAGTTAAAAGACATTTTATGATGTTTGACCTTATAAAATACACACAACACTTATAAGAATCATAGTTTCTAAGTTATAAGGCTTTTTGGTAATTTTGGACCTATACATCATTATTTTGACATTGAGGATTGTGGTTGATGTGAGCCAAATTTTGAATGGATTGTTAACACGACTCCATTCTAAATAAAAAACGTAAAGTTTTATCGGAATTCATTCAAAACTTTTTGAGTTATGGTGTTTACAGACAGAACGGCATGCACACTTCCAAAAACGTAATCTTCCAGGCGGAGTTAATCGTCAAAAAATTCATCTCAGTAGACAATTACTGCAGAGTATCAACACATCAGAACCCTTTTAAAATGTCATCTAACAGTGCGCTTGGTGCCTTTTTTCTGTTGTCTTTAGGTTTTCTGCATCATCGCAGCCATCCCTCCGTCAGCTCCATCAAAGATGAGCCTGCTCGATGACAGGCGAGCAGCCGGAGGAAGCTGGAGGAAAACAGCCGCCTCATTTACCAGCATTACTAATGGTGAAAATAAAGATATCTGAACCACCTACATGTGCTTGTGAACTTATTTTCAGCATGTCATCTCGGAAGCTTTGTCTATGTTAGCACTTTATTAGAGGACAGTCTCTACACATTATTAAACTATCAAAAGTTAAATAAATGGATTGGCCCTCGAACATTTTTCACCCTGAAAGAACTAAATTGTTTTGTATTCTGAGTCAGATGCATGGCTGATAAACAGCCTTACCCCGTCTGGTTATAGCTGAAAGGAGCCAAAACATTTTGACAGCACTGACTAATATCTTGTTTGCTTAATAGCTTTCCTTGCCAGCATCCATGTATCTCTAAAACTGAAGAAGAAGCAGAGGGAGAGAAATATTTATCCTTCAGAGATCGAGGTAACTGTGGGCTAAGCGCTATAAAGTAATTCATCTCAAATTCTGTAGAGACGGCGGTTCAGAAGGAGGAGAAAAATGTAGAGCATAGTTGAGATACAACACATCTGACACATCTCTGCGGTGATGTGTGAGATGAAACCGACGTGGTATACATTTCTGAATGTTGGAACGCATGATCAAAGGCTTTGTTCTGGAGTAAAAACATGTAACCTATGTGTGCATGTAAGGCTGTCTTTGGGGTGTTTAAAGTGGAATCACACAAAGTGTACAGCAGGTTGAACGCGAGTAACCACCTGGTTTTATTTCACCATAAAAACATTAAAGGAGCCAAGCTTGCTCTGCCAGGAAGTAACTAACTCCAGATAGCAGCACCTGCAAGGCTCATGTCTTACTGTGAATTTGCTCTTTTTGCAGTCAGTCGTACTCAACCATCTGGAAAACATCTGTATTTGCAGCACATTTTCAGAATTATTAAACCCAATCGCTACTCTTTTACTTTTATGGCGTAAGAGGGAGACATGAAAAATATTTTAACTTATGGGTCATTCCACCTCATATCGCTCATCACATTTTTAGATCATTGTCTGCTCAACCACCTGTGTATTGCTTGAAAATCGAATGGTTTAAAACTTGGATGACTATAATCTAGCTGTGAAGTTTCAGCCTCGTGTATCAAATACTTTTTTGGACATGTTTTGTTTTTCTTTTCTGAGGCAATGTTTCAACATGAATATCTCAAAAATGTCCAAGATAAAAGCCTAAAACTTTCTCTGATCTTTCTTTCTCCGTAAGATAGAATCAGGGTCTGTAATTTGGAAACAATGCTTAAAAATGTCTGGGTGGATTGAGCAAACACAACAAGTTGCACACTAGAGACATTAGCTCATTATTTAATATGAAAGAACAAATTTCAGGAGCTTCCAGATGTAAGTCTTATTATAACGGAGAAAATTATCTTGTGAAGTATATGCATATTTGTTATTTTCAAGACCCACTGGATGAGTCTAATAATGATGTTTAATTTTGAAATATACAAAAATGCAACAAATACTGATTTTTTCTTGTACATACAAATAAATATTACAATGTTGTATCTTTAAATTTGAATGCAGACTGGAGCTGGTCGAGCAGATGGCCCACAATAATTTGAGATAAATTGACCCTTATACCAACAGTTTTGCAGAGTGAGGCAGTTTTAATGCATATTTATAACCAAAGAATCAGAAGTTACACTCCGTTTCAGCAAAGATTGCTGTGTGCGAGTTATACAATCCACATCTACCTATCGTGTTTCAATAACCTTTAAAGTGAGTGAACAATGAGTTAGCTCATTGTTTAGCAACAAACAGATGCACATGATGGAGTAATTCCGGCTAAAGAGCTCAATGTCCCCTTTAGGATTTAGCAAAAGCCAAAATCAGAGTTTAAAGAGTCAAAATTCACTAAATGAATGATAGTGTTTAAAAGGTGATACATAACACAAGTGTTCACTATTTACTTCCACAAAAAATGTCTCTAAAAGTTTGAATTAATAAACCCCCCCAAAACAGACAGTTTTTGTTTTACTGGGGTAATTAAATGTTTTATTGTTATTTTGTTGCTGTATTTCACACTGTTTGGTTTTGGTGCAGCCAAACTAGCCGATTCCCTTCAAAAGGCTGTGGTTTCACTTTTAGCGTAGAGAGTGGTATCGCTCATCTAATTCAGTCCAACAACAAGACGCAAACAGAAATTAATTAACCGACATCACATTAGTAATGTTCACAACAAAAGATGGAAATAAAATATAAGGTAGTGTTGTTTCATATAATTTAACACAGAAAACAAAATAAGTATGATATTACTATATATAATCACTGACGCTGGTATTTTATCTTAACCTGCAATTAAACAGTCAACACAACAGACACTCTACTAGTGTTAGTCTATGTTTTTTCCTGTTGTGCAAAGAAAGCTCAATGTACAATAATATAGAGTTTGATCAGTACAATCAGTAATATTCTGTTTTTTGGTTTTGAGGCGTGGACGTCATTTTGGTTTCTTAAAGCAAAACATCAACGGCAAAACAGGCAAAGTAACACAACGTGGCACAAACACACAAACAAAACGTATGCGAGCTACCACTACGTGTGTCAGTTAAGCTGGTATCTTCCTGATGATATTCTCTGTGTTCTGTTACTATTTGGCACTTAGTGTAGATTAAAGCACTTGTTCTGGTGACTCTATTCTCTATACTTTACTGTACAACAATAGACACACTGGCAGGCAGTTGCACAGGCAGTGTTAATGCTGAATCTGTGCTGCGGCCTCTGTGGCGGGTCGGCAGTGTTGGCTCTGGATGTGGGAGATCTGCAGGATGGGCAGCAGCAGCTGAAATGCATTCTGGATGTAGTTGGTGCTATTGGAGCCCTGCGGATAGGAAATCATAAGTAGATGTAGCATAGTGCTGAACAATATATATGCATATATACATATATGTATATAATTGAGAGTTTCAAAGACTGATGGCTTGGGGACAGAAACTGTTCTCTTGCTATTCTGCTCCAACAGCTGTAAATCCTCTAGCTAGACACCTGTAGTGAGAATAATCCATGATGGGGATGGATGGAATATAACAATGCTACATGTGCACAGTTTGTGTGCACAGCTCTGGATGTTTCTGGTCATCCAGAAATTCCTTGAGGCATTAAACAGGTGCTTTGCTCACAAGAAAACAATGCCTCCTGGCATCGCTGTCACAGAGATATAACAATAAAAATGAGGAAAGATTTGTTTCTAGAGATGAAATTTGTAAAAAAAAATGCATTCTGAAAAATGTTGAACAAGTCTTTAAACGCTGTGTGGATCTCGTCTGAGTGCCTCTTAAAACTCAGTTCCCATTGCATTAGTGATGATGATCCTGATCATTTATCTGTCACTCATCATGAGACTGCTACATCATTAATTTTATCCATTTTTATTTTTATTCACGATGTTCAAAGTAAAAAAGTCTCACCTCTAGCAGCACACTCTCTACCAGTGGGTTCAGCTCTTCTGCTTTCCTCTGGCCCTAAAAAAGAGAGGCAGTGACACTCGTGAGATCAATAAAAGATGATGGAGTAGCAGAAAAACACAAGTACAAAGACAAAGATCAAAAATTATTTTACTACTGTCAGCAGAGCCTATGAAAAAACCCCCAAACAAACAAAAGAAACAGTGACTTGATCCAACAAACAAATACTCACACATCAGCTGTCTGATATATCTCCTGCTACATCTAAAAAGCTCTGCTGTCACTGAGTCACGTTGTTGTAGTGGGTGAAATGTTTTATTACAATGAATACGACCACTGTATTTATTATGAGTCAGCTCTACAGAGACTGCTCTGTTGGCATAAATACTCATTAGAGCACCCCGTGTGTATTCATACAACTTAAAATAGGCCCCAACTGAACTAAAGTTAAACCCCGATGGATACTTTTTGACAATAGCAAACATTATTAGAATAGTCACAATCATCCCTAATGTTCACACACCCACATGCACACACACTCTCACCTACCCCAACATCGAGCAGCGTATCAGAGAACTTCTTGGCCAAACACTCCACCTCCTTACACATGGCACATGTCAACCTGCAATAAGAAGAGTGGATTTGAGCATGCATCACTCCTTGGAGTAGTGATACTATCTCTTCCTTGACCTCTCTCTACCTCACAGATACACACACACAGACATGCAGACACACATTATGTGCAAATGGATTATTTCTTCACATTTAGTTTTTGCTAGCTCTTTAATTGTAGACCTAATGCCATACACACCTAACTGTTCTTATTTTAGTGCCCCTCAATCCCCTTTTCTCTCTGTCCTCCTCTCTCCTTGGTACCAGGGGGATTCACCCAAATGATCCTGGTAAAACAGATCCTTATCAAAGCCTTCCCCAAGCTGCAGTATCTGCCCTAGCACAGGGCTGAAAAAAAGGAAAATCAGACCCTCTAACTGGACCGACTTTATCTTTGATAACAGCACGTTTTTCATAAGCTTATGCACACGTGAACTGTGCAACATTTATTTTGATCATTTTTGACCAACATCTTGTGTTGATGATGAGCATGTTGGATTGTTACGGCAAGTTATCTCCAGCACATCCCAGTGGGGTTAATGTCTGGAGTCTGTTGCGTCTAATCCACGTGAAAATGACGTCTCCTATTCCCTGAACTCCCTGAACCACTCTTTTACAATTTGAGCCTGATGAATCCAACCCAACCACATTGGAAGAAAACATTTACTAAAGGAAAAACCTGGTCATTCAGTATTTTCAGGTAGTAAGCTGACCTCAATTTCTGAACCAATCCCAGATCGTAACACTGCCCCCACAGGCTTGTACAGCAGAAACCTGACACAATGAATGCATCACTTCACCCGCCTCTCTTCTTGCCCTGATGCACCCATCACTCTGGAACAGAGTAAATCTGAACTCATTAGACCACATGACCCTTTTTTCATTTACTCCAATCTTTATGCTCCCGAATATACTGAAGCCCTTTTCCTGATTAGCCTCACTGATAAGTGGCTTTCTTAAGGCTACACAGCTGTTTAGTCCCAATCACTTGAGCTGTTCTCGCACTGTGTGTGTGGAAAGGCTCTTACATGTTGATTTTTTATCATTTCATTCCAATTTTAGCAGTTCCAACAATCTCCTTAGTTGTTTTCTTTGCTTGACACAGTCCAATAATTTCAGTGAAACGCAGTAACAGCTGACACGGTTGTCTAAGAAATGATAAGCTCTTATGTATTTGCCTAGTTAAATCCAGGTGGTGACTTGTCTTTTGGCCAGGCAGTGTATGCGACTGTTTCAGTCTTCTTTGCTTGTGAACCTAACCTCAACAATCACAAATGCCAAATCCCAAACATTTCCATTATTTCCCTTAGCAAAGACATAACAACAGCTTATATTTATCTCCTGGAGGCTTACCCTAACCCGTACCATAACCTTGAACCTGTCAAGGGGATACCCACAGAAGGAAGTTCCCACAATGTAAGTGTGTAATACAAGTACACATTCACACACATACCTGGTGAGGACGTGTGCCTGGTCTCTGGCTGGTTTCTCTTGCTCCTGGCCGTGGAGGATGAGCTCCGCCACCTTGTGGAGCTGCTCGATGCTGCGAGCCGTCACTTCTGCCAGACTGCTGACCGATGACAGGTAGATGGCCTGATGAGAGGAAGGTGAGTGTATACACACACACACACACACACACACACACACACACACACACACACACACACACACACACACACACACACACACACACACACACACACACACAGAATAAGTGATTCAAATCAAATAAGGCAGTGACAGCAGGAAGAAAAGGTGACGGAATTTAAACTTGAAAGCAGAAGTCATAACAGTGCAGATGAGACGTCACCTCTACAGATATGGGGTCGCTCTCCTTTGCCTCTTCTCCTCCTTTCATCTCCTCCTCCTCGCCCTTCTTCTCCCCCAGCTCTTCTCCGTCTTTCTTCTTCTCTTCCTTTTTGTTCTCCTCTCCTCCTGGCTGGTCCTGCGTTTCCCTGCCAACTGTCTCTGTAGTGACAGGTTGTTCCACCTTGCTCACCCAATCATGGGCCCTCATTCGAGCCTGGAGATGCATAATTACCACTCATCAGGTCTGCATGAAGACACATTCCCACCCTGATCCTGATGTATGCTAATTAGATGCATATACATGGATATATGCTAATATTGGTTTTTATATATGTGAATGTGATTACGCAGGATGGCTTTAGGGGCTGATAACTTTTAAATTAGCTTTGCAGCAGGATGCAGAGTTACTATGTTGAGTGTAGATACAAAGATGTGTATTTTTGTAGCTTTGTGGACCGTTTTCTCAGAGCAAATAGGAAGAATGATTGGTGGTTGTTAGAATATTCCTGGTACTAAACTACACTATGGAATTTGAAATGCATGATTTCAACACAATTTCATAATAAAACGAGGTATAAACTAATACTCATAACACAGCTTTATAGAAGAAAAATCAAAGATTTTCTTTCCAAATCAGAATCATAGGCAGCACGGTGGCACGGTGGTTAGCACTGTTGCCGCACAGCAAGAAGGTCCTGAGTTCAATTCTACCATCAGGCCGGGGTCTTTCTGTGTGGAGCTTGCATGTTCTCCCCGTGTTTGCGTGGGTTCTCTCCGGGTACTCCGGCTTCTTCCCACCGTCCAAAGACATGCAGCTTGTGGGGATAGGTTAATTGGATAATCCAAATTGTCACTAGGTGTGAATGTGCGAGTGAATGTGAGTGCGAATGGTTGTCTGTCCCTGTGTGTTGGCCCTGCGACAGACTGGCGACCTGTCCAGGGTGTACCCCGCCTCTCGCCCTATGATAGCTGGGATAGGCTCCAGCGCCCCCCGCGACCCTGAAAAGGATAAGCGGAAGCGAATGGATGGATGGATGGAATCAGAATCATATCACTATGTGAAGGAAACTATCTGTGCATTACACCTACAGGAGTGTTTATGACACCCCAGAAAAAAGACAACAACCCTTCTCCATCAAACTTTAGAGCAGGCACGATTCGGTCAGGCAGGTGGTGTTCATGTGGCACTCGCCAAAGCCAGATTGATGATGTATTGCTTGCGTGCTGCTTCTCAGCCACAGAAACCCGAGTCATGAAGCACCGGGCGCAGTTTTTGTGCTGATGTCGAAACCCTGCAGTTACTCAGTCAGCAGAGCACTATGTGCCTCAGCACTCGGCAATCCTGTGCTGTAACGTTACGTGACTTGCGGTGATTCCTAAATGCTTCTGCTTTGCAGTAATACCACTTACAGTTGACTTGTTGCAACAGCTGAATCAGAGTTGCAACACTGGCATTTCTCTATCACAGTGCCACCTTCAAATTCACAAATGTTTGTAAAGGCAGGCTGCCTTTATATACCTGTGGCCACGAGACTGAAAACACCTGGATTCATAAATGATGTGGCTCAATACCTTTGTCCATATAATGCAGAATGATATGACATTCAGAGCACAGACAGTATACTGGCTACTTCCTAGACTTCTGTACAATCAGACCTCTTTTTGAAACCAGAGGAGTCGCCTCCTTCTGGACATTAGAGGAAATACAGGTTTTAGGCAATTCAACACCAGCTTCACTTTTCAGCCACACAACTAAGGTCTGTATTTTATACACAGTCTGTGATTTAAAGGCTCGTCACAGACAATGTACCAGAAGGCAAAAAGGCGCTTCACCCACTGATGGTGCTGATGTAAAGTAGTAAGTGTCAGTAACTTAACAACCGGTGTTGCCAATAAAAAAATATAAAAGATTGTATTTATTATTAAACTGTACAATTTACAGAAAAGACAGTTAATTTAAAATTGATAGCAAAATGCAGGATGGATGGATGGATGGATGGATGGATGGATGGATGAAAACTACTGGCATCTGTGTGAGTGAGTCACCTTGTTGAGTTTGTCCGGCGTGGCGGCAACATGAAGTTCAAAGAGCAGCTCGGTGAGAACACTCACAAACTCCTCGCCATCAGCAGCTGATAAAAATGCACAAAAGGCATGCACCACCTCGTGTCAGTTTACTTAAATACACAAAGCACGTGTTAAAGTGTGATGCTACACGCATTTACACCACATGTCAGGAATCAGTCGATTTACTCCATGCTGAGATCACGAAGCGTATATTGTTGTTGTCATGCCAACGTAATTCAAACTCCTGTGTATAAATTACAGCTGGAATTGTAAAACATGCAGATTCGGCGACTGGATCTTATGGATTGTTTCTGTTGGCTTTTCTTGAGTCTGCAAATGTGTCGGTGGCCCCTGAACACCAAACGCCGGATCAGGCATCCTGTTCAACCCTCCGAGCAAAAGGGCGCCTGCCTGCTTTGAGCTGTGCACCTCCATGACATCCCCTGAAGGTGCCCCTCACAAACCCTTTAAAATGTAAAGTGGTGAGATGTGACGAGACCAAAACTTGCCATCACACTGACACAGTTTCACTCCAGTAGAACATTTTCTACTTCTTTAGCAGATTAGGAACAGTCACCGTCATCGCTGATTCCCGTAAGGATCTAAGGTTTTCAGGGCTTTTAGGAAGAGGAAATATAATTTGGGTAAGTTCTAGGATGCAGAGCATATAAGATTATTTGACATGAAGCAGATGTTTAAGTGAAAATTTGGATTCTTGAACTCTAATTACGACATAATATAACAGATTGATGTGACTTGTCAGAGTCATAAGAGAGTGAATAAAACAAAAATGTCAGGTCAGATAATAAGACGTTTGGGATCAAAAGGGTGGCTGATCATAACCCTAGGTAGACCTACTTGTCAGGTTAGGTTACCTGTACCAGTGACCAGTGACGATACTAATGCAATATTATTAGAGGCTGAACTGGGTCAGAACAAGAGAGTTCAGGCAAAGGAATGCTATTTTTTAGTTTATGAGGAAAAGGTCCAGATTTTCTTAATTTTTTTTTTTTCGTGGAGTTTAGATGACCTCCATATAAACAAAGAAAAGAACATATTTTTGTGTGCTGACAGAGCCTGACTCAAGGATGACAACGCAGTTAATCTGGTCACGTTTTCACTGAAGCCATGCAGTGTCTTTCATCTCGTTATAAGATGCTAAAAGATCATCCTGTATCAGTAACAGGAGAAGGAGGGGTACTCAGGCCATTTTCCATAAGTTTGTTGCCTCATAAGAAACAAAGTGAGGCAAAGTCATTGCCTCACTTTTTTCCTGCAATGTTGCTGAAACTGGAGAAGGCTGTGTAAACGGCTTTAAACAGCAACCAAATACCACAGGATTAGTCTTTGTGTCTGAAATTGATGGAGCACGCTTTTAAAAAGCACTCTTTGAATCTGCACAAACTAACTTTCTGCACAACTGCACAAACTTTGAAAAGATTAAAACTAAAATAAGTGAGCTAAAGCTCCCTGAGGAACAACAGCAGGCTGCCCACAGCCAGCATCAGAGATAAGCGCAGTCATGAGTGTGTTCAACAACAAACTCTGTTTTTAACAGTTTGGGTTATCATTTCCCATCCAGGTGCCTGTCAAAGGCCACCTGATCCTGGGTCAGCGCTAAGGGACCACCTCCACCTACAGCAGGTCTAGCAGTCGATCTGGGTCACTCACATAAGGGGGTAGAACAGTGTAATTGGGAACTAAGATCACCGTTATCCTTCGTCTGTCCTCCTCCTTCTGTCTCCACATCCTCCTCTTCCTCTTGCTTGATGAAAATCTCCTTGATGTAAATCAGCTCCTTCTTCACCTCCTCCTGCTCCTCTTCGGTCAGGGAGGAGAGGAAGGCTTGAACCTAAAATCACAGCTGCAGGTAAACTGCTTGAAACAGGCAGTGTTTCTGAAGCGCTTTCTGTATTCCCGACACTCGCGCCTTACCTTTGCTTCACTCTCATTGGACAGAATCTCCAGGGCCTCCAGGTGTGACAAGCCCTGGTAGTCATCAAAAAGAATACCGTAGTGAGCTGTGGGAGCACTGATAGGCTGGTTACTCAGACGGGCCCGCTCCTTCTCCTTGGCTTCCTTCAACATCTGAAAAAAGAAAAAAAAAAAAAATCAGAAAAAACAGAGCCACCAATTTAAAGCAATTACACCTACACACACACACACACACACACACACACACACACACACACACACACACACACGACACACCAGTTTCAGATTCATTTCTTATCTGACAAGATGAGATGAGATGGTCAGTTGCATGCCTGACTAAGTGACGCGGTCTTTTGCATCAGAGTTTTGGTCTTTTTAAAACCCGGGTCACTCTCTGCAAGAACAGTCATGGTCTTCTTTCCAATGAACTCCAAGGCATCCAAGCCTCCACTGATCACTGACTTACCCTGAGAGACACAGAGAGACAGATGCAGAGCGAGGAAGGGTGGGAGGGGAAAGGCAGTTCAGCAAACTACAGTAGCCTGTTAAAGAAAACAATAAAAAAACAAAAACAAAATAGGATTGACCAACAAAATTGTAAATTTAGATTGCACACTTTTATAAAATGTTGTAATTTAAATAATATCATACTGAAAGTTTGCATACTGAAAACTAAATGAATTCAGTTAAAAAAATATGAGCTTGCTCTTGGTTTATTGAGGTCCATGAGCGCCAAAATGAATGAAATAAATACATTGTTAACTAATTAAATGTGTCATTAATCAATTAACCCTTTAAATCTCAGTCAGTTCAGTCAGGAACAAAGAGGGAAAAAATAAAGTGAATGTTTTTGCAAAATATTTAAGTAGGATTGTAATTTTAAAACTGCAGCCTTCTGCCAAAAATCAAGAGATCATTGCTTACAATCCATAACAGCTCACAACTGCTTCCAGTCTGATTTTCAAAGCACAGATGATGTCTTTAACTTTAACTGCGCTCCTTCACACAGCAGGAAATCGAGAGGCAGAGCATGTGTTAATGAGAAATATTTCAGCTTACTAAAACTGTGAATTAGGAGGTACTTAATATGTAACACAAATAAATAAATCGTTGACAGCACTGAAGGGGCTCGACTTTTCTATCGACCATGGCTTGCCATCGAACACAGATTGAGGAATGCCGCAGGGAAGGAGAGGAGAGGAGCTGGCAGCGACGTCCAGAGGAGGATCAGTAAATCAAGGACTGTCTTCTGCAGCGTGGACGCTGTCTGAAGTCATCACAGTCAAGCACTCTCACCAATCTGAGGCTATAATAGAGCTGTGCTGTGTCTGCTGTAACTCTATAGGCTAAATTAGTTAAAGGGTTAACTAATTAAATAGGTTAAGCTCTGTAGAGTTCATTCTTTTTAAAATCTCACTTATATTTTGAGACATCTTATTAAACAGTTTATTTTGGATTAACCTGATTTTGTAGATTAAATAAGCCCCACTTTCAGAGTACTTACTTCTATTTGCATCTACTTGTCTGCTAATACTGTAGCATTCAGGGTTAATAGGGAAGCTTTTCAATTATGTTTGCAGTTCAGCAGCAGTTTTATATGCTTATACGTTAGGAGCAAAACTGTGACACCACTAGTGCATTATACTGATCACTGACTTATCCTGAGAGAGACAGAGAGAACCTGAAATCTAAATATTTAAAAATTTTGCCAGGAGGAAGGAGAATGACTGAAGGCAACCATAAAAAACTCTCACTAAGTCTAAAAGTCTCAGGAGACTGCTGTGGATCTGATTAAACTGAACGACCTCCAAACATTCGGTAATGCACATCTTCAGAAACAAGTACAACTCCATCACACAGACAGCTCTGCTGTGGACACCAAAGTGCAAAAGAGAGTGCCCTAAGACCACACGGCAGCAGACTGTCGAGGCGGCATTATGGGCACTAAGAAAACGAGACGACTCTTCATATCTGAGTACATGACTGCCTGGTGAAATGTATGATTTAATCGCCACTAACACTCTTTCATGACATGGTTTGGAAGCTTCATCAGATGGATACCTTTTGTGTGTCTCTCTGTGCGTGTATGTGTGTTCACTCACAGTGTTTTGTACGGCATGTGTGATTGTAGAGAAAACGCCCCTGCTAGAAGCTGTGGCTGCAGTAGGAGAAGACGACTCCCCGGAGTTGGACAGGTCAATCTCTCTGCTTTCGATTCCTCCTTCTGTCTTCTCCTCCACTCCCTCCTCCTCTTCCTGTGCCTCCTCTCCAACTGAGGTTCTGTGGAGACGAAGTGCCTCTCCTGCCTTCACCTTTACTGAGGTCAGGCTTTGACCTGCACACAGAAAGCAGCAAATTAAAGACTCACATACATGAGGAGAAGTAGACATTGATGGTCTATTTCTCCTGCTTGCCAGCGACATTTCTCATTACATATATAAAAACACATGGTCCTATAATAATCCTGGCTGAAATCTATGAGCCAATTTTGAAACCGCAAGAATGATGGCAGAAGTAAGACAAGCGATAAAATGTTTCTTCACTTGCTTATGGAAGGACTCTGTGCTTGTCTGTTACTATCACCTTGCTATCAGGTCCCTGCTACTGCAGAAATACCGTACCAGCGATTTCTGAATCGCTACACATGAGCAAATACACATATAGATATTGTTAAAGTGTTTATGTGATGACAGTGTGTATTTTCAAATTGTGCATCTTGGAAAACATTGCTGCACCACAAATCGTGTACAGATTTGGGTGCAACAATGTTTGGGTCCTTTCATAGTTATGGTGTATTTGACATTCCTGTGTTGGTGTTTGTGCATCGTCATTTGTGCAACTGACCAGCCATGTTGCTGTGATGTCACAGCTGTGCAATGGAGGGGAAAAAGAAAACAAATAGCTCTGTTTTTATAAAACACCCTCCTGGAATAAATAGTAAGCACTGCAAGTGCTTTCTTTATTAATTTATACAATATAATAAATTTACTATGGAGTTAGGTTTTTGTTAGCCAAATTTAACTCATGTTAGTTCGCTAGTAATAGCTTTCAATAGCATTAGCTACCTTCTCAGTTAATGCTAACTGTATGCTCACACAACATCACTGGTCAGTTTCAATGTTGACCCTGAACCAAAATTATTATGGTGACGCAAGAACAACATCAACATGGGGATATCAGATTGTGCCACAGTTATGCACAACTGGCCAATCACAGGGTGAAATGTAATTCAGTTCAATTCTATTCTATTCATACAGCACCAAATCACAAGGCCACAATGTGCTTAATATTGTAAGATAAAGACCCAACAATAATACGGAGAAACAATCAGATGACCCTATGGGCAAGCACTTTGGCGACAGTGGAAAGGAAAAGCTCCCCTTTAACAGGACGAAACCTCTGGCAGAACCAGCTCAGGGAGGGACTGGTGGTGAGTGAAATGGGTGTAAATGTGAAGAAAAGAATTGGATGAGAAAAACCTGGGACATACCCACTGTGGAGGTGGCAGTGGTCAGAAGAGATTTTCCCCATGAACTCCAAGCTCCCCAACCTTTTTCTTTGTCCAGGAGGGACTTCTGTGCGCAAATATCCATCATAGGAAAGGAATAAAACTGTTAACCGTTTGGTCTATAATATGTGTGAAAGTACAAAACAAATGACAATCACAAATCTCTAAATACATATCATAATTGCTTGTTTATTATTAAATATTTCAAAATGTTAATATGAAGCTGTATTATACATAGAAAGGCTGGATCTTAGCTTTAAGGAAATTCATGTATCATGAAAACAGAAACTAGCAGTTTTCATCAATCAAATTAACTAACGAGAAGTTAATAGGCTTTGGCTTTGTCAAGCTAAAAGACAGTGTAACACCTTCAGTGTCACTTATTTAAAGATTTCAGTGATTATATGTACATATTTGAGCCTGTATATACAATTTCCTGAATAAAAATCCTAAATATATTCAAAATTCTTGTTTCTTTGAAGTTATTTTATAACTGTGTGCAAGTGTATCTATGAGACATTTTCCTCTCAGTGCTTTGTGTCAAGGAAACATAAATCAAACTTCAGCTTGTGAAACAAACCTCCACATCTTCCTCTGCAGCCTCTGTGTCTGGCTCCAGGCTCACTGGTTGGTCACATTCAGTCATCTGACTCTCTGCAGGAGACTCTGGTTGGTCAGCCTGACCCTCTAATGTCTCAGAGGTGGTGGTGTTCTCTGTGGTCGACTGCTCTTTGGACTGATCAAAACTCTCAGGGGAGAAAAGAGGCTGCAGTGGATCTGCTGGGGGTGTACCGGCTGATGGTACATCCTGACCGAGGCTGGGAACAGGGTCGGGGGGCTGAACAGGTGGAGGGGTGGGGTCTGTGGAGGGGTCAGCATCAGAGGAGGCAGCCTGAGACATGATGATCTGCAAAAAGTTGGATTTTTAGTGGAAAACTGCTCATCTGTGTCTTTCGTATAAATGCACTTTCCCTAAAACAAAAACACTGTTTATACAAATCTAAGCATAAAGTGGAAACACTCAGTTCTTACATGTTTTATCATGTGTGAAACTCTTGAGGCCTGGCACATTCACACAGCGTTTAATTATTAGTGTGAATTAGACTTTTCATTGGGATTAACTTTAGTGACACTAAACAATGTTCCTCAAATTATGAAGTACTAAGAGTACCAACTGTGTAAACTGTTCCGTGCCAAAGAGGATTGAGGAAAAAGTCAATCAAGCTGTGTCTGTATCCCACACATACGTCATAAGAGGTGTGATTGGGCTAAAAACATCTGGCTTTAAGGACTGGGAGCTTTTTTCTGCAGCTCACTGTACTTGCAATTGAACATGTTGTAAGGGACTTTTGTTGATAATATATAATGTATTAAATAACAATTAAAAAACTGGGGTATATAGAGACTCCTGGACCATTTAAAGCAGGGGTGTCAAACATAAAGCCCGGGGTCCACAATTGGCCCGGTGAAGTCTCGAATCCGGTCCCCTGGACAGCTTTAGAAAGGGACGCATAGATTTTGAACTTTTGACTGTATTTTCATAAGTTTCACAGATTTTCCTATTGATAAAGACCAACCACCTTCATTGCTGCAATTTTACACAGGTATTATTAATTTCTCTGGTCCCAGCCACTTAAGATCAAAATGGGCTTTATGTGGCCCATGTAAAAGGAGTTTGACATTCCTGGTTTAAAGTGATGTAGAATAAGTATTTTTTTTTAAATATATAAATAAAAATGAAAATCATAAAAAATGACAACTTGGATTTCTACCCCATCCATCCCTCTCAGTCACATGCAGCAGTCCCTGAAGACACACCCAGACCCCCTTCTTACCGGTCACCTGCTCCTTACCCAGCTCAGCCCAGGCCAGGTGAGAGATGTAATCTCAGGAATGCCTGTCTTGGGTCTGCACTGGTGCCTCAGATTTGGCTTGGGAATTAGTGATTGACACCATTATTTAACACACACCATTTTCAGTGCATGGGGGATCCACGTTTAGCCACTGTGGCATCAACAACCAAAGGGACTCCACTTGAGTGGGTATCTCTTTTATCTCACCCTGGTTTTTACTTAAGGTGCAGTACCATTTATTCTTATTTTTGTTTTCTTTTTAGCCCTTTATTATTTATTTAACTTATTTATTTCCATATCTTAAAGTTGCAGTTTGTCTTTGTATTTTCTCTTTGAAGCATTCTAGGGTGCAGGTGTGCATTAAATAATCTGTAAATAAAGAGTCGAGTTTCTATCTTATTCTAAACTGTTGCAGCAACGAACAATTATCCCGATTCTCTAATAAACACGATGGATACTATTTATTTTATTTGGCCTGGAATTAGAGACATTTTCTCGCTATGCTCTCCTTTTTTTCCTCTTCTCGTTCCCTTCAACCTCCCACCATATGGTAGCAGATAGCTGTCCCTCAATGAAGCTAGATTTGTTGGTCGCTTCCATATTAAAAAAGAGTTTTTCCTTCCCGCCATTGCCAAGTGTCGTAAATAAGTGAGTGAGGTTTTAAATGGTTGGTTAAAATGAGGTTTTTTTTCATTAAAGCTGCAGTAGAAAGTGCCGTGAGGGGAATTGTTGCTGTGAACAACTAAATAAAACTGGACTCAACTGAAAGAATTTTGACAACACAGAATTTTATATGTGCTATAATTAAAGCGACAGTACTGCTGGTCATTTCATGTCCGATGTTGCCATCTTGTGTTCAGTTGCTGTACTCAGATGCATATGACTATCACTCAGTGATTTTCTTACTGTTAAAAGGAGTTTTCTGCCAGAAAAAGGTTCTTGTGCAGAACGTTTTTTGTTTTTTTTTGTTTTTTAAATCAGAAGAGCTGGTGTGGTTAAAAATAATAATTAATATATATATATATAAAACTTCACAAAATAGAAAAATATGTTTTCACCCACACACAAAAAAAATGCTTTAAACAGATACTGGAAACCACGGTCTCATAATTCTCATTTTGCATTTTGAGCAGTAACAATAATCTTGCACTTTTGACATAAATTATATAAACATCTTTTCCTCTGACTCATATAGAGCGTGACAGCGTGACAAATAATAATAATTCCCTAATGCTAACACCTAAGTAAGGATGTATTAAAGACTGCCCTGCCTTTTTAGTGCGATTTATAGCATTAATGCAACGTGACAGCATAGGCAACGCTGTATAAGAGACAGGCAACAAAGAGCACTGTTATGCTCTACTTTCACGCTAACATGAATGGATGTTTCTCACTTCCTAAACACATACAAACACACAAAAACAAAGCGATGCAGCAAATTTATGAAAGACTAATCTCAAGTTGAACTGCAGTTCTTCGCTTGTATAGTCAAAGGAAAATTATAAAGCTGGGAGACAGTTTTGTTTTTATGAAAGTGACAGTGCAGCTCACCCGTTTGGTGCCAGCCAGCGGCTCTTCCGCCCCGCCACGTCGGCAGGACGGTGGTCTGTGACTGCGCCAAAGAGTAACAGCTGACAAGAGAGTTCTCTGCCTCGGGAGCGGCTCTGATGAGCTAAGCTAACACAACTTCACAGACGGGCAAAAAACTACAGCGCACACAAAAACAAACTGTACGTGTGTGTGTGTTTTTCCTCCAATAATTAGAAAACGGCACCACAGTTTCAATATAGCATTCTGTTTCAGAATGCGACCGCTGAATAAGTTAGGCCAGTCATAAAATAAACGACGCCAGTCAAAATAGCAGCGAAGTTGCATCTATGTAGGAGTGAATCATTTCAGTTCTTCTGGCTCTTTAGAGGAGCAACACCTCTATTCTGAAGCTCGGTGAAACGAGAGTCCGCACACCAGCTGCTGTTACACGCAAAACCCCACAAAAACAAATAAAACAAAACAGACTAAAATGAGTACAACTAGTGATGACGAGTACGATTTATATACATATTAATCTGCTTGCTTGCTCAGCGGCTCGTTGGTCTAGGGGTATGATTCTCGCTTAGGGTGCGAGAGGTCCCGGGTTCAAATCCCGGACGAGCCCTCGCTTTTTCTTTCGTTTATATCATCTCTAATATGCACAACACAGAAAATCCAAAGTAAAGGGCTATTGCACGTAATGAGTATGCAGCTGTATTTTTTTTGTCCCTCAATGTTGCATTCTTATAGTAGTAACAGTATTGCTGCAAGGCAGTGTAACATTTTAACATTTCTAACTTTGAAATAAACTACTGGGGGTGTAATAAATCACAGGTTTGGTATTTAGTAAACAAAGAACAAATATGTTTTATTTGAATTCAACTACTCCACCTCTCTCACTAAGAAAATCTAGTGACATTAAAAGTCATGTTACAGTCTTTTAACACTCTTGTGTTCTCCTTATCCCAAAAATAATCATCACTAAGCTGATGATAACCATTATTTCACTGCTGTTCTGTCTGGTTATCATCAGTAGGGATCAAGCATTCATAAACTGGCACACCTCTTTTGATCCACACCTGACAACTGTAACAACTGTAAGTGCTGTCACTTCATTTTCTTTGTGGGAGTTCCCTGAACAGAGAGATTAAATTGCACTTGACTGTAAAAACGTCCTTTCATGCTTTCTTCAGGTGCAAGGGGTGAGTGCTAGACTAAACATGCTGTGCAGTCACACATAAAGAATCCAAAAAGCTTAGAGTGAAGTCTCTGAAAATGGATGTTTTTATTTAAAAAAATTAAATCTGCACAAATCTCTAATGCTCCATAACTACTTCATGATCCATCCATCCATCCATCTTCATCCGCTTTGTCCGGGGCCGGGTCGCGGGGGCAGCAGCCTAAGCAAAGAGGCCCAGACCTCCCTCTCCCCAGCCACCACCTACAGCTTATCCGGGGGAATACCAAGGCGTTCCCAGGCCAGCCGAGAGATATAATCTCTCCAGCGTGTCCTGGGTCTGCCCCGGGGCCTCCTCCTCCTGGAACACCTCACCCAGGAGGCGCCCAGGGGGCATCCTTGTCAGATGCCCGAACCACCTCAGCTGGCTCCTTTCGATGTGGAGCAGCAGCTGCTCTACTCTGAGCCCCTCCTGGATGGCCGAACTTCTCACCCTATCTCTCAGGGAGAGGCCAGCCACCCTTCGGAGGAAGCTCATTTCTGCCGCTTGTATCCGCGATCTCGTTCTTTCGGTCACTACCCACAGCTCGTGGCCATAGGTGAGGGTAGGGACGTAGCTCGACCGGTAAATTGAGAGCTTCGCTTTTACACTCAGCTCCCTCTTCACCACGACGGACCGGTGCGGCATCCGCATCACTGCAGCCGCCGCACCAATCCGTCTGTCGATCTCCGGCTCCCTTCTCCCATCACTCGCGAACAAGACCCCGAGATACTTGAACTCCTCCACTTGGGGCAGGAACTCATCCCCGACCCGGAGTGGGCACTCCACCCTTTTCCGGCTGAGAACCATGGCCTCAGATTTGGAGGTGCTGATCCTAATTCCCGCTGCTTCGCACTCGGCTGCGAACAGTTCCAGTGCGAGCTGGAGGCCCTCACCCGATGAAGCCAACAGAACCACATCATCTGCAAAAATCAGAGATGAGATTCTGAGGCCACCAAAGCGAAAGCCCTCCGCCACTTGGCTGCGCCTAGAAATCCTGTCCATAAAAATTATGAACAGAACCGGAGACAAAGGGCAGCCCTGGCGGAGCCCATCACCCACCAGGAACGAGTCCGACTTATTGCCGGCAATACTTCATGATGCAAATGAGTAAAGATTTTACACCATAAGCTTTTTGTGTGGTTTGCGGCATTTTTGTAGGAACTACCTTCTGCAAACCACACATCACAGCAGATCTCAATACTATCTTGTAATTTCTTCCTTTTGCTCTTACGCTACCCTCATACACATATCACCCTCGACCCTCATTTCCACCCACTTTGTCTTGTCTTTACCTATACTGTCCAAGTATTTAAGCTCATCCACTTTCACCTTTCCATCTGTCTCCCTCTCATTCACACACATGCATTTTGCCTTACTTCTACTGACTTTTATGCCTTCACCATCATAGTCCGCATCTATCAACCTGTCCATCACCACTGCAAACAAGAAGCTCAGAACTGATCCCTGATGTAATCCCACCTTCAGCTTGAACCCATCTGTCAATGCACCTCACCACTGTCTCGCTAGCCTCATACATGTTCTCAGCCATGCTCATACTTCTCTGCTACTGCGGACTTCCTCATGTAGCACTACAATTCCTCTCTCAGTACTACTATCATATGCTTTCTCTAGATCGACAAACACACAGTCCAGCTCCTTCTGATCTTTCTGTGCTTCTCTATCATCACTCTCAAAGCAAAGCTAACATCCGTTGCGCTCTTTCGCACTATTAAGCTGCACTGCTACTCACTGATCATCACCCCAGATCATACCTGTCTTTACTACACCACCTTATTCTTGAAAAATCAGTTCACTTCTCCATTCCCCAGGAATTCTCTCATACTCCAAGAATGTTTTAAACAATCTAGTTGAAGTCCCTCTCTCCTAGGCATCTGCACCATTTATTCCTGCCTGTGGCTATCTCACTGTACAATCCCTCCATGTAAAACAAATGTACACACTGGGCAACAGCACCTTAATATCAACCATATTTATATATTTATGTAATTTGTGTTATATGGTGGAATTTTTATAATTAGAGTCATTTGTATATTAGTTATATTTTATAACTTTGTAATATAATGTATAATTTTTAAGATTAAATATTTAGTTATTGTTCTTACCATCTTGGAGAAACTGTGACTGATTCCCTGAGGAAATTATGTAAAGTTTTCCGACTGATACCGCCACAGGTATGTCTTCTGGACCTCCTGCCTTTCCACTCTTCATCGCTGCCCACACTTCCCGATTTGTTATAATTTCTCCATTTATTCTCCTCCCTCAGATGTTCTTCATTCAGCAGCTCCTCAAAGTACTGGTTTCCCAGCACACTCTTCACTTACCCTTAATCAGTCTACATCCTTTCCAGCTCAAAATCTCTGCCTAGCCAATTAATAAAAGTCCTTTTCTCCTTCTGTAGTATCCACAGACATGCACACACACTTTTCTCTTCTAAAATAAGCTAATTCACTAGCAAACAGGTGAACAAAAAACAGAATCACAAACAACGATACATGCTTCAAATATTGCAATAACTTTATTAAGTGGTATGAATATTTTGTTTAAAAATGCTAAATTGCAGAAAGACCATACGTTCACAGTTTGATGAGTTCCCTTTGAATTGCCAATGGTAAGATTTAATTAGAAAAAAAAAAGACAGGGTTTATCATAAACACTAGAAATATGTAATAGAGTATCAAAATCATGCTTAATAAAAACCATTAATTGCCCGTTCAGTCTAATAATGAATTATAAAATATAGATATTAATATGACAATTGTATTTGCAAAGATACAAAAAGGAAAAAAAAAACCAAACAAAAAAAAAAAGAAAAAAAAAGCACAAACTGCAAAAGGCATCGAGGAGCAAATGCAGATCAGTTGAGCTGCTACATTCGGGGTGTGTGAACGTGTACATGCGAATAAATGGCGGGGTTACACCTTCTTGTATACATGACTAGAAAATGACAAAAAAAAAAAACAAGACAACTGCTGAACTGGACACCTTCCAATTAAACCCAAAAGCAAATGTGTGATAGAAAAAAAGAAAAAGAAAAAACACACAACAGAAAAAAACCAACCTGATGTGATTTAAAATGTCTGGCTTTGGGAATGTTAAATAATGTACTCATACATACTATTTATACATATATATATATTTATAAAATATATATAAAGTGCACATTGGAGATGTACAAAGGC